CCTTTAAAACCGATGAAGTACACAACATCGAATCATAACGATCACAACTGATCAAAAAAGCTAGCACTAACTATAAATTATCAAATGAATATGAAATTAAATGTCAAAATAACTAACCTGGGCGCGGATTACGGGGGTTGCATGGCATATCGTCAGCAATCATGAGGATTATCTGGCTAAAAGAAGTAAAATAAGCCCACTGAATATGACAACAAATGTATACTGCATAGTCCATTGCTATAATATCAGTTTCTGCAGGAAAACATACTTCTGGCAAGCAATGCATTGCTTTATGAAATAAAATAATGCGAAATGCATCAACGCATTAAATATCTCAAAATACTACAGATTCTGGCCTGTATAAACATCTATGAGTAGCAGGACTGTAACAACACGCTAATCATCTAAATTTTTTGGGAAATGTTAATTAAGAGTTACGAAGGTTTCCATTCTGTGGTGAATACACTCATGCGTTAAAAGAAGAAAATGCTTCGCAGGAAAACACAATATCAGTGTGAATTTTCCACTTAAACATGATAGAACGGTAGAACTCTATTATCAAATTAATTACAAACAACACAAACAAAAGGTATGGTACGTTATTTAGCATAAGGCGGATAGATTTCGGTTAATATGGGCTTTGTCAGTTGCAGAAACTGAAATATTCCGGGCCTTAATAGTTTCTCCTTTGCCGCGGTTAACAATGTCGCAGAACAGAGCAATTAGCCTCCATGACGCGCCTGTTTATCAAGCCCTTTTCTTACCCGATACCGCCAAACTCTGATGATTAAGTGCAACATTCATGCATAACTTATTATAGATTTTACCTTTATACCGAAACATCACCTCGGGTGTGCATTTGGGAGGAGGGGGCAAGGTCTTGTTTCCGAACGAAATGGTTCCTTTAAACGTGGAACTCGCTTTCGTTTGTGGCCATCCATGCTTTTCACTTTAATGGATGGGCATTTGTCTTTTGAGAAATAATATTCTTTTTTCTCATGAGTAAAATCTCGCGTAGTTTATGATAATTTGCAAACCCATTCCAGAGTCGCTACTTTTAGAATTATATGAAATACAGCGTCAAATCTATTATAATTTCCATATATTACGCTACCGTTATATTTGCTGGATCTTTATCTGTATGAACCAGTTTTTAAAGCATTTCGAAGAGAATTAAATAAAGTTTGCATTCAATGCTGCTATTTCTGATATCATGTTGAAATAATTTACTTTAACAGTCATTCTTTACGGTCGTGACGCTGTTATAATTTAATTGCAGAATTAAAGGCATTACATGTTTATTTTAATGTTATGTCAAATTTGTTCTTTTAAAAACTGTTTGTCACATAATTTCAGAGCGCTATCTGAGTATTAAAGCTGTAACCTATACCTCTTATTTATTTATACGGTCAAGGGCAAAAATTATATACATTTATATATTTCACTAGGTTAACGATTAACTGTTTTAATTTTATTTCATACTCCCTCAAGCGAAGCATATTTTGCAAGCAGCAGGAGCTAAGCATCGTCAGTTAGTTGTGTCCTGTCAAAAAAATTGTTACTTCTAAAATTTTTCGCATATTTCTGACTTTTTCCAAAACAACAGCCTTCTGGCACATTGTTCGTAGGATTTCTGCGAGCCTTAGGTGGTTCAAGATGGCCTTCACTCATTTCTGAATCAAGCTGTCTTAATATGACAAATGATGCAGTTCGCATAAACTCCAAGTTTTCGGTTTTTTAAATTTTTTTTCAACATCTATAATTTCTGCTGTCTTGTTCACATGATAAGAATAATGTCTGGACGTTTCTGGTCAGCGACATGATCGATGATTATAGACTTGTCCAAATATATGGTACATTGATCATCCTCAAATAAGTTCTCTGAACTGTATCGATAAAATGGCGTCGTTGCCGAGATGAGGCAATGGTCAAGTGTCAATTGCTGATTAATGATTATTGCGACGCTCTTGTGCGCCTGATACCTCAACGCTAGCCAAAGCCTAATAACCTGCAATAATATGTGGGATCGATTCCACTGGACTGCCGCAAATGCTGTACTTATACGAGCTGTTTTTATGGCAAACTTCCTGTAGTCCTTTGTAAGCACCACATGATCTTGCTTTGACTTTCAAAATCCTTTAGTTTCTGAGAACAGCCCTCATTCTGAAAGCCAAGCACTCTTTCAGATCGATTCTTTCGATAAAGGAAACACAGTAACGCAAATGAAGAGCCTTCTTATTCCATTCATTATATCTGGATTTTGAAGTCAAATTCGCTTCTCTACCTCCATCTATCGTTCTGACAGCTTCAGCGTTATATTTTCTGTCTGCTTCTGCTATGGCTATATGAAAATGTGATTCCTTTATCCAAAAAGACGCTCTAAAGATCTTTTCTTCTTCTTTTAGCATCCACGATCAGTAACGTTTGTTTGGCAGAACGCAGTCGGCATAATAAATAATGCGTATTTCTGCTACACTTTTGGTACGATTATTGAAACATTAACTATGAAAATTTACCTGTCCGGGATACCAAGCCGTTTAACGCTGTGATAGAGTGAGAGTACGTTCGCCACATGGCGGTAGTTAAACCAGTATCGAGAAGTACACACTAACACAACCCAGTTGTTCGTATGGCCGTTTTCGAAGAATGAATCAAGCGACTGCTGAAAATATAAAGAATATATACTATGGGAAAATTCAGTATGACTGAAGGAAGCACAGCGGCAAAAATTAAAAATAATTACCATTAGCTGCATAGCTTGAAACAGATATAAATAATATGAAAGCAATTAAATCATGTTTTCTAAAGGCTATAGATTTAATGGATTTGCACAGACTTTGCAGAACAACATTCTAAGAAACCTGCTGTACAAAAAGTTTTACTATCGCTTTAATACAGAAATGTGGTATAAGAAACGACATTGTGTGAACGGCCTCTTGATAGAGCGGAGGCAAAGCTCGAGGTACCTGGCGATGACGGCATGCGCTCGCTTAGTGAAGCAGTATATAAAACTACAGCGCAAGCAGGCCACCAGCTTAACACTGCAAAGACACAAATGATGAGGAACCCAGAAGATACCGTGGGACCGAAGTTGACATATGACAACAGTACTATCCAAGAACTCTCGCAGTTGAAATATGTGGTGTCATCGACTGAACAGATGGGAATGATGAACAGGACCTGCACAGAAGGGTACATTCACTTCCAAGAGCCTTACGAATCTTTCAATTCAAAGAAGAATACTAGTCGCTACCAAGGTCTTTCCCTACTGTGCTGTTGTCAGACCAGTTCTGCCCTATGGACTAAATATGGCTGCACTCAGAATGGCACAGAAACATCGACTGGAAAGACTACAGTAGCGCAGGTTGCGTCAGCTGTTAGAAATCAAGTAGTTCTACCACATAAAAACCATTGAGTCTTAGCACCAGTCGATCAAAAGGGAATTCAGCATCTTACGTCTGGTTGTGTCCTTGTTGCTAGCAGTTACAACCTGCTGCACCAGTTATCTGAAGAAACACTGTATTACTAATCCCATCAAGCAAGCATATTAGAGAAAACAGCTATTTTGTATCATATGATCAGTTACGACCCACCGCTGTCGACCAAAACCGCTCGCATATACTAATTTACACCAAAAAACAACGGATCGATATCATCGATGTGGCAATTTCACTGGGCGAGAATTTTCATAAGAGATTGACCAAAAAACAGAAAGTACCATGGCTAGATTACAGATCTGAAACAAGTCCCTCAGCTGTCAGCATTTCAGGCAGTCACTTATCATACGACCTGATAGAGGAGAAAATGAAACGAGAAACAGCAAAAAATATGGTTTATTCATACACAACTCATACAACTTGGTTCATTAAATGATCAACCAAAACCGACGTTTTGGCATATGCTTCAACGGTAGGGAACTGGGTAGGTTAGGAAGTCATTTTGTCGTTCGCGGCCATTCGTACGTTTGATGATGAAACGATGAGCATAAAACTTCTGCACTTATCTGGCAGACGAACTGAAGAGGTGTCAGGAA